TTTTGGGTCCGGTCGTGGGGCCTGAACTCTGGGCTGTCCCTCAGCTCTTCAGCTCAGGGCTAGCACCCTACCACTTGAGCCACAGCGCCACTTCCATCTTTTTTTTGCTTATGTGGTGCTGAGGAATCGAACCCAGGGCCTCAGGCATGCAAGGCAAGCACTCTACCACTGAGCCACCTTCCCAGCCCCTAGAATTTTTATTTATTTATTTTTGTCCATTGTGGGCACTGTCCCTGAACTCTTTTGCTCAAGGCTAGTGCTCTCCTACTTTGAGCTACAGCTCCACTACTCATTTTCTGGTGGTTAATTGGAGATAAAAGTCTGATAGACTTTACCGCCTACGCTGGCTTTGAGCCACTTTCCTCAGATCTCAGCCTCCTGAGTAGTTATGACTATAGGCATGAGCCACTGAAGCCTAGCGAACTAATGATTTTTAACTTAAAATGAATATTCCACATACATTTCACTATTTTAACTATTGATGTCAACATTTTTCTTCTTACTCAAACATTTATTACCTTCCACTAATGTACAGAGGGGGATTTCATTGCTACATTTTCATACATTTGCAGTATATTGCAATCAGTGTAACCCTATCACTTTACCTCAAATTAAAGTTCTTACTGTTATCCTTCACTGTCCATTTACTTTTTTTTGTTTTGCTTTGTTGGTTGTGAGGCTTGAACTAAGGGCCTGGGCACTATCCCTGAACTTTTTCACTCAAGACCTACCACCTTGAGTCACAGCACTAGTTCCAGTTTTCTTGGAAGTTTTTTTTTTTTTTTTTTTGTCGGTTGTGGGGGCCTGAACTCTGCCTGGGCACTGTCCCTCAGCTCTTCAGCTCAAGGCTAGCGCTCTACCATTTGAACTACAGCTCCACTTCCAGCTTTTTCTGCTTATGTGGTGCTGAGGAATCGAACCCAGGGCCTCATTCGTGCAAGGCAAGCACTCTACCACTGAGCTACCTTTCCAGCCCAATTACTTCCAGTTTTCTGGTTGTTAATTAGAGGTAAGAGTTTCCAGGACTTTTCCTGCCTAGGCTGGCTTCAAACCTGTATCTTCAGATCTCACCTTTTGAATAGCTAGGATTTCGGGCGTGAGCTACTGGCACTCAGCTCGTTTTCTGTTTCTTTCTTACTGTAAAGGTGATATACAGAGGGGTACCGTTACATAAGTCAGGTAATAGGTTCATTTCTTTTTCAACAGTGTCACCCCGTCCCTCATTTTTCCAGCTTTTTTCCCCCCTTCCGATCATCCCCCCCAGCTCACCTTTAATTTTCTCTCTTGACACTTTTTCTTTTGCTGGTTCTGGCCTAGATACTGTCCTGAGCTTTTTGGCTCAGGTCTAGCACTACCAGTTGAGCCACAACTCCACTTCTAGCTTTTTTGGTGGTTTAATTGGAAATAAGACTCTCACAGACTTTTTTGCCCCAGCTGACTTTGAACTGGGATTCTCAGATCTCAGCCTCTGGAGTAGCCCGGATTACAGGTCGGAGTCACCTGTGCCCCTCCCCTCCTTTTTTAAAAAAAATTTTACAATCAGTGTTTCAAAGAGATCGAATAAAATTTCTTAAGATAATTATTCCAGGTGCCAGTGCCTCACTCCTTTAATCCTAGCTGTTTCAGGTGGCTGAGATCTGAGGATTTAGATTCAAAGCCAGATCAGGCAGTAAAGTCCGTGACTCTTCTCTCCAATTAACCACCAAAAAGTTAGAAGTGATGGTGTAGCTCAAGTGACAGAGTGCCTGTCTTGAGTGAAAAAGCTCAGGTCCTGAGTTCAGTGCCTAGTATTGGCCTACACACAAACAAAACGAAACAAAAGACCAAAAACATTAAGTTAGAGTTCCTTATAAATCTTACGTTGTGTTCTTTTCCCCAAACAATAATAAGGTATACATGAAAAAACTGCTGGTCTCATTCTTTTAGGTATCACCTAGGTTTTCTAGTAATTGTCATATAGTGGTTGGTATTTTATGAGTATTTATTGAGTTAACTTATTCATAAAATAGGAAAAATATATAAGAAACTGAGTTGCAACTGATTATTAACTTAAATACTTTCCTATTTCCTAGTTCCTATTTTGATGAAAAAGGCTTGGTGAGACAACAGCTGGATTCTTTTGATGAGTTTATTCAGATGTCAGTTCAAAGAATTGTGGAAGATGCTCCACCCATTGACCTGCAAGCTGAAGCTCAGCATGCTAGTGGAGAGGTTGAAGAACCGGTAAGATGGTTATTTCTACTAAGGTTGCATAGTTGAAGAATAGTCTGGGTTTGAAAGTCCAACCATTCTCTTACTTGGCTTAAAGAGTAGAAGTCAAGCATGTAGTTTCACAAGTAATCTTAATCTTTTTTAATGTTCAGAGGCAGAAATGATAAAATATCACTTCAAATAATTTAACTTATGAATATTATCTAAAATTTAAGTAATTGCACTACACAATACTTGATAATATATTTCACTGCATGGAAAGGTAAAACAAACCACTTAAATCTGTTTGATTTATTAATAACTCTTTTGCCCTCTAGGAGGATGAAAAAAATATCAGTAGTGTAGATAATACAAGGTATTTGCTCAAAAAACAATGCCTTAATCTTCCTATTCAGATAGTAAGTATGAAGGAAGGAATCACATGAATACCTAAAATAAGCAAACCTGAAACAGGGATATGGCTTAAATGGTTGAGTGCTTTCCTGGCACTTTTTTTTTTTTTTTTGGTTGGTTTAGGCACTGTCCCTTAGTTCTTCAGCTCAAGGCTAGTGATCTACAAACTTGAGCCATAGCACCACTTCTGGTTTTCGGAGTGGTTTATTGGAGATAAGAGTCTCACAGAGTTTCCTGCCTGGACTGGCTTTGAACCACAATCTTCAGATCTCAGCCTCCTAATTAGCTAGGATTACACGTGTGAGCCACCAGCACCTGACTTAGCACTTTTTTTTCTTGTGCTTTTGCATATAGGAAAGGAAAATAATAACTCATCCCATGTTTGTCTTCATTTTTTTCTCTTTTTTCTATACACGCACTGGTGTTGAACTCTGGGTTTGGGTTTTGTCTTCAGATTTTTTGCTCTACCATTTTAGCCACAGCTCTATTTCTGTCCTTTTGATGGTTAATTAGAGATAAGAGTCTCATGGACTTTCTTGCTTCTGATGGCTTCGAACCATGATCCTCAGATGTCAGCCTCTTGGATAACTAGGATACATGCACACTAAAGTAAACTAAACTGTATACTTTTGTTCAGCTTTTGCTCATGTAAGCCACTCCTTCAGTTTGACATTTTCCTGATTAATTGGCAATAAGAGTTTCTTGGATTTGTCTGCCCGGGTTGGCTTCAAACCACAGTCCCTAGATCTCAGACTCCTTAGTATCTAGGATCCTAGACATGAGCCATTTGGTGCTGATCTTGGGGCTTGAACTCAGGACCTGGGTACTGTCCCTGAGCTTTTGTGCCCAAGTTTAACACCCTGTTACTTGAGCCACAGGTCCACTTCCCTTTTTTGGTGGATATTTGGAGATAAAGAGTTTCATGGACTTTCCTATCCCAGCTGGTTTCAAACCAAGATCCTCAGATCTCAGCCTTCTGAATAGTTAGGATTACAAGTATGAGCCACCAGTGCCCAGCTGTAGTTCTTTTTATTTGAGTATTTATAAAGAAGTAAGAAGCTTGCCAGGCTCTGGTGGCTCATGCCTGTAATCCTAACTACTCAGGAGGCTGAGATCTCAGGATCATGGTTGAAAGCCAGCCTGGGCAGGAAGGTCTGTGAAACTTTTTTTTTTTGGGTCTGGTTGTGGGGCCTGAACTCTGGGCCTGGGCGCTGTCCCTCAGCTCTTCAGCTCAAGGCTAGTGCTCTATCACTTGAGCCACAGCGCCACTTTTGGCTTTTTTCTTTTTGCTTATGTGGTGCTAAGGAATCGAACCCAGGTCCTCATGCATGCAAGGCAAGTGCTCTACCACTGAGCCACCTTCCCAGCCCTCCATGAAACTCTTATCTCCAATTGAACACCAGAAAACTGGAAGTGGTGCTGTGGCCCAAATGGTAGAGCACTAGCCATGAGCTGAAGAGCTGAGATAATGCCTAGGCCTAGAGTTCAAGCCCCACGATGGACCAAAAATAAAGGAAGAAGTCCAAAGTGAGACAGAGAGCCTCAGTGTTGGTCAGAGGGAGAAGTCTATTCTTTTTTTTTTTTGGTTGGTTGTAGGGCTTGAACTCTGGGCCTGGTTGCTGTCCCTCAGCTCAAGGATAGTACTCTACCAGTTGAGCCACAGCACCACTACTGGTTTTCTGGTGGTTAATTGGAGATAAGAGTTTCAAGGACTTGACTGCCTTTGAACTGGCTGGCTTTGAACCACCATCCCCATATCTCAGCCTCCTGAGTAGCTAGGATGACAGGTGTGAGCCACCAGAGCCTGGAAGAAGTCTGTTCTTTGTCTTTTCAGTCACTTTTCTTTCTAGATTATATTCTGAGGATCTATCTCACTCATTCTAGTTGGAGGTGCTACCCCAAATTTTGTTCTGAAGAGCAAAAAAAGCAACATGGTGTGCTTTTAAAAAAATCCTGAGTTATTTTTCTCTATATAGTCTTAGTGAAACTAGAGACTATATTCACTGTGCCAGTATAGTAATTACTACTGGAGGAAGTGATCTCTAAAGCTTGGTTATCAGTCTACCAGAAAAGATGGGAGGAATTTAAGTTGACTGTGAAGGGAGAAATGACTTCTCTTAGAAAAGATGCTTAGTTTATGCTCAAGCAGAATGCTTTATTTATTTATTTTTTTTGGGTCCGGTTGTGGGGCCTGAACTCTGGGCCTTGGCGCTGTCCCTCAGCTCTTCAGCTCAAGGCTAGTGCTCTACCACTTGAGCCACAGTGCCACTTCCAGCTTTTTTCTTTTTGCTTATGTGGTGCTGAGGAATTGAACCCAGGGCCTCAGGCATGCAAGGCAAGCGCTCTACCACTGAGCCAACTTCCCAGCCCCTAGAGCAGAATGTTTTACTAGGCAGCAGATAAATATTTAAAAGGCTTTTGGGTTTTTGTTGTTGTTTCTTATGACACTGAGTCAAACTAGGACTTCATGCATACTAGGCAAGCATTCTGCCACTGAGCTACATCCTCAGCTCTCAATTAAAATTTTTTGGTTGCCGTTGTTTTATGGAGATCTTGGGGTTTAAATTCAGGTCTTTGTTCTTGCTGGCAGGTGTTCTACTATTTGAACTGTTCCCTAGGTCAGTTAAATGTTTTATTGAAAAATTTGTTGTTTTCTCCCCTTATATTGTAGGCTGAGCTATGGTCAGTCAGATTGTAAGTTCTCAGTTGTTTTTTGTTCTTTTGGGGTTTTTTGGTCAGTAATGGAGCTTGAACTCTGGGTCTAGACGCTGCCTCTCGGTTTTTCAGCTCAAGGCAAGGGCTCTACCACTTGAGTCACAGAACCACTTCTGGTCTTCTGAGTGGTTTATTGGAGATAAGATTCTCACAGACTTTCCTGCCCAGGCTGGCTTTGAACCATGATCCTCAGATCTCAGCCTCCTGAGCAGTTAGGACTACAGGTGTGAGCCACTGGCACCTGGCAGTTGTCAGTTTTTATATAGAATGATTAAGATTTTTTAATTTTTGCGACTGGGAAGGTGGCTCAGTGGTAGAGCACTTGCCTTGCACGCATGAGGCCCTGGGTTCAATTCCTCAGCACTACATAAGCAAAAAAGAAAAAAGCCAGAAGTGGCGCTGTGGCTCAAGTGGTAGAGCGCTAGCCTTGAGCTGAAGAGCTGAGGGACAGCCCTCAGGCCCAGAGTTCTGGCCCCATGACCGTACCCCCCCCAAAAAAAAAGATTTTTTAATTTTTGTATGTTTAATTGGAGAGTTAAATTTACTTTTTCTAGTGATTTATTGGTTAGATGATAATAGCTGCTTTGGTCACTTTGTACTCTACACCATAATCAAGGGATAAGGCACATAAAACTGTGTAGTTCATAGATTAAAATCTATTTTGACTATTCTGTATGTACTTATAGCAGCTAATATATGCAGTTTTTGTATTTCTGTGGACTGTTGTCTTCTTATGTTCTGCCATAAGGAATCAATTATATTTAAAATGACATTTCTGCAGGTGGATATTGACTTTAATGTTCACATCAGTAAATTTGGCTTAGTTTTGAGTTGCTTCTACATGTTAATGTCAAGTAGAATCTGTTTTCTTTTTTTTATTGCTAAGGACCTGGATTCTGATAGGTGTTAGACATGTAGTCCTCTACTGAGCCATACTCCCAACTTTTGAAACCACTAAAGCTTTATAAAGAAAATTATTTACCCTGAATGTTTTTGTTTAATTTCAGCCAAGATACCTGCTAAAGTTTGAACAAATTTATCTCTCCAAGCCTACACATTGGGAGAGAGATGGTGCCCCTTCACCAATGATGCCCAATGAAGCCAGATTAAGAAATCTCACGTAAGAAAGGTTTTCTTGTTCATAGTTGACAATTTAAAATTTAATAATTTTTTTTCTTGAGACAGTGTCTTGCTGTGTATCCCATACTTGTCTCAAACTCGATCCTCCTAGCAGATAGTGAAATAAAAGTTGGAAAGTATAATTTAACTAGTTGGAGATTTATGTTTTAGCAAATGTCTTACTATTGTTCAATTCTGACTTTATTTTCAAAGGTATTCTGCTCCACTTTATGTTGACATAACAAAAACAGTCATTAAAGAAGGTGAAGAACAACTTCAGACTCAGCATCAGAAAACTTTTATAGGAAAGATTCCAATTATGTTGCGTTCAACTTACTGCCTCTTGAATGGCTTAACAGATCGTGATCTTTGTGAATTAAATGAATGTCCTTTGGATCCTGGTGGCTATTTCATCATTAATGGGTCAGAAAAGGTATGGTAAAAGTATTTTAAAACATTGCAAAATGACAGTTAAATTTTAAATGATTAAGTACATATTAAAAAAGCAGACTTTCCTATAGGATATACTGGAAGTAGCAATTAGAATTATTTAGGGTATGACAGCTAAGTTTACTAAACTTAAGCTTAGCTATATTTAATATTTATGAGAAATTTGTTGTTGAAGCTTATATATTTCTATGATGCTTTTATGCAAAATGGAGTTTGTGACATTAAAAGTTATTTCAACAAGCCTATAGGATTAGGTTAAATTATAATGCAAATTTTACTCTTCTATTTCAGTGACTTTGAGGTTTCATGGCTATAACTTTGTTATTGTCTCTATAGGTTCTAATTGCTCAAGAGAAAATGGCAACAAACACAGTCTACGTGTTTGCCAAAAAAGACTCTAAATATGCCTACACAGGAGAGTGTAGATCATGTCTGGAGAATTCTTCCCGACCTACCAGTACTATATGGGTTAGCATGCTGGCAAGAGGAGGACAGGTATGGCTCTTGAGGAGATGCTGTTTGGGTTTATTTCTTTGTTTTCTACTGCATTCTAAAAAGTTCTCCTGGAGTACACTGTTGGTATTTTCTGTTACCTTCATGTTATTTACTTGTTGCCAGGAAACTGGTTACTCCATCTAGCTGTATTTAAGGTTTCACAGTTTCTGTGAGTCAGGAATCTGCATGCAGCATAGCTGGGTCCTCTAGCCAGATGTCTTTGCCAAAGCTGCAGTCATCTGAAAGCGCATTCATGTGATTTTCTGGTATGACTCAGTTCTTCATTGACCATCGCACTGAGGTGTTTCAGGTCTTTGCTGAGTGTTGGAAGTCTTTCACACTTCCTTGTCATGTGGGACTTTCCATTCCACTCTTGACAACATGGCAGCTTGTTTCTTCTTCTAAGGTAGCAAAAAGGGCTGTAGAAGAGTAGAAGTAACACATAAATCTTTTTTTTTTGTCAGTGGTGGGGCTTGAATTCTAGGCCTGAGCATTGTCCTTCAGCTCTTCAGCTCAAGGCGAGTACTGTACTGCTTGAGGTACAGCACCACTTCTGGTTTTTGGTGGTTTATTGGAGATAAGAGTTTCACAGACTTTCCTGTCCAGGCAGGCTTTAAACTGTGATCCTCAGATCTCAGCCCCCTGAGTAGCTAGGATTACAGGCATGAGCCACCGGTGCCTGGCTTAAATCAATTAAAAAATTTTTTTTTTTTTTTCCCAGTTGTGGGACCTGAACTCTGGGCCTGCGCGCTGTCCCTCAGTTCTTCAGCTCAAGGCTAGCGCTCTACCACTTGAGCCACAGCGCCACTTCCAGCTTTTTCTTTTTGCTTATGTGGTGCTGAGGAATTGAACCCAGGGCCTCAGGCATGCAAGGCAAGCGCTCTACCACTGAGCCACCTTCCCAGCCCTAAATCAGTTTTTTATACCTTAATTACATAAGTAATATCCTTCTAGTTTTGCCATAATTTTTTTTTGAGCTGGTTGGGATTGAACCCATATAGCTTGACCATACTAAGCACATGATCTTCAACTAAGGTATATCCCCAATCTCTGTCATATTTGGGTTAGATGTATGTAAGTCAGTACTTCAGTTCACTCAAGGGAATTACATAAAAGTAATAATAGTAGTGTCTTTTCATGGTGCTGAGGATCAAACCCAGAGCCTAGCATGCACTAGGCAAGTGCTGTACCACTGAGCTACATTTCTAGCCCTAATAAAGTAATCTAGAGATAGCATTTCTCAGATATTTACTGTGTGCCAGTTATGTTACTTATATTGCTTGATGTAATCATTAGTGTTCTTTTGGAAGGTGTAATTAGTCCTCTTGGTATTTTTTACCTTTAATTAATTATTTTTTTTATTTTTTGTCAGTCCTGGGGCTTGAACTTGGAGCCTGGGCAATGTTCCTGAGCTGCTGCTGCTGCTTCTTCTTTTTTTTTTTTTTAACTTGGAAAGAGTTTATTTGTTCAGGTGGACATAATATGATATAATAGGTGTAAGAATAGATGTAATAATTGCCTGACCTTCTTTTGATCAAGGCTATCACTTTGCCACTTGAGCCACAGCACCACATCCAGCTTTATCTGTGTATGTGATGCTGAAGAATTGAACCCAGGGCTTCATGCATACTACAAGCACTCTACCACTAAGCCACATTCCCAGCCCTAGGTCATCTCTTTTTTTTTTCTTTTTTTTTTTGGTTGGTTGTGGGGCTTGAACTCTGAGCCTGGGCACTGTTCCTCAGCTCTTCAGCTCTGCAACTCAGGTTTAGTGCTCTACCATTTGAGCCACAGCACCACTTCTGGTTTCCTGGCTTTGAACTACAAATCCTCAGATCTGAGCCTCCGAGTAGTGGCCATCATTTTTTAAAAAAATTAGGGCTGGGAATGTGGCTTAGTGGTAGAGTGCTTGCTTAGCATGCATGAAGCCCTGGGCTCCATTCCTCAGTACCACATAAACAGAGAAAGCCAGAAGTGTTATCCTTGAGCAAAAGAAGCTCAGGGACAGTGCCCAGGCCCTGAGTTCAAGCCCCAGGACTGGTTAAAAAAATATATTACCTAGTTAGTTGGGGGGATGGGTTTCATTGTTACATTTCCATACTTAATAATATATTCCAACTTGCTTTCACTGTTCTTGCCTTCCTTTCCTCCTTCTCAAAACAATTTCAACAGGTTACATTGTTCTGTTTTCATAGTTGAAAATGAGGCTTAACCTTGTAATCCTAGCTACTTGGGAGACAGAAGTTAAGGATGGAAACTTGAGGCCAGTCCAGGAAAAAACCACCCAAGATATTCTATCTCAACCAATGGTTGGGTGTTGTGCACACATGTTATCCCAGCATTGACTGGGTGCAATGGTACATACCTGTCATCCGGGGCAACACCAAGGAAACATAAGTAGAAGATCCCGTACTGCCCCAAACAAATTTATTTATTTTTGTGCAGTCCTGGGTCTTGAACTCAGGGCCTGCTATCCCTGAGCCTTTGTGCTCAAAGCCAGCCCTCTATCATTTGAGCCAAAGCTCACTTCCAGCTTTTTTGATGTTAATTGTTGATAAGAGTCTCACAGACTTGCTTGCCCTGAGGGCTTAGAATGATAATCCTCAGGTCTTAGGGCTTCCTGAGTAGCTAGGGGTGGTGCCTGGCTCCAAAAAAAAATTTTTTTTTTTTAAACTTGTGTAATGGGAAGGCTAATTTAGTAACGTGAACTACTTAGGGTAGAGAATGTCCAGCTTGAGGCATATGAAGTCCTCAAAATTATCTGTTGACACATATGTTCCTCAAAGCGACTCACATGCCCCTTGTGTTTGGCTGCCTGCAATGATTCTTTTTTTTTGGTCGGTCATGGGCCTTGAACTCTGGGCCTGGGCACTGTTCCTGAGCTCTTTAGCTCAAGGCTAGCACTCTACTACTTGAACCACAGTGCCACTTCCAAATTTTCTGTTCATGTGGTGCTGAGGAATCGAACCCAAGTCCTTGTGCATGCCAGGCAAGCACTCTACTACTGAGCCACTTTTCCAGCCCCTGCAATGATTATTTCTTATCACCCCCAATATTCAGTAGAGAAAAGGTTCCTTATTGTGGCTAAAACTACAGTGTGAGCATATTTAGTAGGCATCTTTTCCAATTACAAGAGCTGTTAATTCTCAATCATTATGTAAACAAGGAACTGTCTTACAGACAAGCTTTGATTGGATATTTTGTTTTCATTTTGTGCTCAACTTTCCCTATATGTCCATTTATGGTTTTTTATTGTTGTTGTTGTTGGTAATGGGGCTAGAACTCTGGGCCTGGAAACTGTCCCTCAGCTCTTTAGCTCAAGGCTAGTACTCTACCACTTGAGCCACACTGCCACTTCCGGTTTTCTGAGTGGTTTATTGGAGATAAAGAGTCTCACGGACTTTCCTGCCCAAGATGGCTTTAAACTTCAATTCTGAGGTCTAAGCCTCCTGAGTAGCTAGGATTACAGGCATGAGCCACTGCCGCCGGCTTCTTTCTCTTTTTACATTTACTTTTTTTTTTCAGAATCCATCTCCCCCTTCCTCAGGGATGGAGAGTGGCAAGGCATCAGTTGTGTTTATATTCTTTGGCAGCCAAAGTAATTTCCAAATCTGGCATTTGGTAGTTCTTGAGAATCTTGGCAGACAGAAGACAGTGGAAATCATATTAGATTATAATGACCAGGCTTTCTATTAAAGTCATAAACCTGTTTCAAGAACAGGTCTTAAAGAACAGCTGTAGGAGGAGAGGGAGGCATGCTTTTGAATGATCTATAATGATCTATAATTAATACATCCATTTTCATGATTATTTTATATTGCTTTGAGTTCTTGTATATTCATGTTCTGATATATTTTGTTTTTCTAGGGTGCAAAAAAGAGTGCTATTGGTCAGCGCATTGTGGCAACTCTACCATATATCAAGCAAGAGGTTCCCATCATCATTGTGTTCAGAGCTCTAGGTTTTGTGTCTGACCGAGATATCTTAGAACATATTATTTATGATTTTGAAGACCCAGAGATGATGGAAATGGTAATTTAAAAGCAAAATGTATTTATAATGTTTTACAATAAAATTAAAGACACTGATTATTGTAACCTTTAAAACAGCAGAAAATGATTGGAGAGCAATGTAGCATTTACTGTGTAATGAAAACTTTCAGCCCTGTCTAGGCTTTTCTTACTGATAGAAAACCAGAGACAGCCAGTCAGTTGATGCAGCTTGAGGAAACAGTAGTAAGGAAGATTGTAAAAGCACACGAGTCTGGTACAAAGTAAAAAGGAATATTGAATAGTTTATGCCTTTTTCTTTTTAAAACTTTTTAAAGAATTTCAGGCTTGAAGAAAATTTGAAACAGTAGTTTGGAGAACTCTTAAATATTCATCCAGATTCAGTTGTTACTTTTGCTGTTTTAACTTAACTGTTTTTTTTCCCCCCTTCTATCTACCTACCTGTCTGTATGTGTGTATTTTGGTCTAGACTATTTGAGAATAATTTACACATGCCATATGCCTTCACTCCTAAGTAATACTTTAGTGTATATTATATTTCCTAAGAACCAGGACATTTCATTTACATAATCCAGCATAGTAATTGACATCAAATTTGATTTAGGTAAGTCTTATTAATGTATAGCTCTTATACAGATTTTTGCCAGTTGCCCTATAATGTCTTTTTGTTGTTGTTGTTGGTAGTGGAACCTGAACTCTGGGCCCAGGCGCTGTCCTTCAATTCTTAGCTCAAGGCTAGCGCTTTGCACTTGAGCCACAGCGCCACTTCCAGCTTTTTCTGCTTATGTGGTGCTGAGGAATCAAACCCAGGGCCTCATGCATGCAAAGCTCAAGCACTCTACCACTGAGCCATCTTCCCAGTCCACTATAATGTCTTTAATAGCAGCTTTTTTCTTAATTCGGATTTCATTTTTTTTTTTTTTTTTGGTCAGTCATGGGGCCTGAACTCTGGGCCTGGGCACTGTCCCTGAGTTCTTCAGCTCAAGGCTAGCGCTCTACCACTTGAGCCACAGCGCCACTTCAGGGTCTCATGCATGCAAGGCAAGCACTCTACCACTGAGCCACCTTCCTAGCGCTTTTTTAGTCTCTTTTTTTATCTTTGCTTAGCCTTTCTTCTTTTTTTCTCTTTTTTTTTATGACATTGAGGTTTTCAGATCAAAAGTGAGAGCATATATACTGTTCTTAAAGCTGTCCTACATTACCTGGTGTGAATAAGATGACTTAAGATTCAAGCTAGCCGGGCGCTGATGGCTCACACCTGTAATCCTAGCAACTCAGGCTGAGATCTGAGGATTGCGGTTCAAAGCCAGCCTGGGCAGGAAACTCCATGAGACTCTTATCTCCAGTAAACTACTAGAAAACCGGAAGTGGTGCTGTGGCTCAAGCAGTAGAACGCTAGCCTTGAGCTGAATAATGCAAGGACAGCGCCCAAGCCCAGAGTATTCCACGTCTGACCAAAAAAAAAAAAAATGATTCAAGCTAAATGTTTTCTCACAACATTAAAAAGTAGAGAGCTTAGTTCAGAATATTTGTTTATGACAAATGAGTTCTGGTTAGATTTTACCAACAGTCAGTAAGCATTATTTAACATTAACTTTTTTTTTTTTTTTGGTCTGGTCGTGGGGTCTGAACTCTGGGCCTGGGCGCTGTCCCTCAGCTCTTCAGCTCAAGGCTAGCGCTCTACCACTTGAGCCACAGCGCCACTTCTGGCTTTTTTCTTTTTGCTTATGTGGTGCTAAGGAATCGAACCCAGGGCCTCATGCATGCAAGGCAAGTGCTCTACCACTGAGCCACCTTCCCAGCCCCCAGGTTTACTTTATATAATAATTTAAAAAATTGATTTGACTTAGATGTTTTCTTTGTTCCAGACATACCAAATTATTCATACTTGTTTCAAATGGAAACTTCATTAATAAAGTGAAAGACATTTGATTTAAGTATATTGTCTTTGTGAAAGTTGCTGTTTTACCTTCAGCTCTTAAAAGCTGTCTGTGAATGTTGTATATATGAATCAGGTATTCAAAAGTGCTTCATTTTTGTGAGCTCTGGTTCTATGGTTAAGATTTAGATGTTTAAATCTGGGTCTTGATAATAACATAGAGAAGTCAAAGACAAGAAAGCCATTTTAGTATACATTATGTTATCAAGGGGTACTTACAGAAGTTAAAGTTACTAATTGTTACCCCTTATTTATTTCTCATGCTCATTATTATATACAGTTGGATATTTAGAATGTTAGAACTGCAATGAAACTTGGGAATTATTTTAGTCACTTTGTAGATGAGGAAACTTTTTATGTGGTTACAGATAGTGGCTGGGTATGGAATGTAAGACTTAACAATGTGGTTTTAAGGTCATCTCCTTTGAAAATTGAGTGGTTTAGTTATACATTAAAAATTTCTTGGGCTGTTCCGGAAGGTGGCTCAGTAGTAGAGTGCTTGCCTCCCATGTATAAGGCGCTGGGTTTGATTCCTTAGCACCACATAAAACAGAAAAAGCCAGAAGTGGTACTGTGGCTCAAATGGTACAGTGCTTGCCTTGAGCTGAAGAGCTGAGGGACAGCACCCAGGCCCAGAGTTCAAGCCCCATTACTACCCTCCCCCCCCCCAAAAAAAAATCTTCCTATCAAGACTGAACACAAAATCTGACATATTTATTTGTAAGTCAGTAAATTTTAATTGGATCACCATGCTTCTCTAAATATTTTTGAGATATGCAGAAGGAACTTTATTTTACCATTGGTTGTTAAAGTGTAGAAAAACAGTAACACTATTCTTTCTCCTAAGGCTATTTGTATTTTTCTAGGTAGTGAAATTGCCTATTTTGATAGTGGATTTGTCAGTGATCTTTAGATCTCTCTGTGGCCTTTGGATTCTAAAATTTTGTGACTCCTTGATTTTCTATAAAATTTATATGTTTGGTGAAGTTTTATTGGGCATTTTAATAAAGAGAATAAACTTGAAAATAACAAATTATTTCATAGGTTAAACCTTCTCTTGATGAAGCCTTCGTCATTCAAGAACAGAATGTTGCATTAAATTTCATTGGTTCAAGAGGAGCAAAGCCTGGTGTTACTAAAGAGAAAAGAATTAAATATGCAAAGGAAGTCTTACAAAAGGAAATGCTTCCTCATGTTGGTGTCAGCGATTTTTGTGAGACTAAAAAAGCCTATTTCTTGGGGTACGTTAATTTAATTGTTCAAAGTTCTTTGGCAGATATAATAGAGATAGTGTTTTTCTTAAAGCTAAGAATGTCAGAAGCTATTTATTTGATGTTTATTTTTTTAAAGCCAAAATTCAAGTGTCTTCCTTTTGTCTTTTTTCTTTTAAGGTATATGGTTCATAGGTTACTTCTAGCAGCTTTGGGTAGAAGAGAACTAGATGACCGAGATCACTATGGGAACAAAAGATTGGATCTTGCTGGGCCCTTACTTGCATTCTTATTTAGAGGGTAAGGAATTACAGAATGCCATTGTTGAGTAAGGAAATTTTACTTTCTTATATTGCCTAGACTTCCTTCAAACTTAAATCTTCCCACCTTTGCCTCCCAAGTAGCTGGAATGTTAGCCATTGTACCTCCTGTGTGGTTTCATTTTCAGCCACCTGGAATGGTTACATTGTCAAGCTATCTGTATTGTTTACATGTGAAGTGTGTATAGTCTCTTTGCTGCTTGGGTAGATTTATTTCCAGTTAATGTCTGAAATATTGTTTATGATTATGAGTACCACTTATTTTTGGTTTTGGTGGTGCTGGTGCTAGTACGGTGCGTGCTAGGCAAGTTCTACCATTGAACTATAGCCGTCATGACCTGAATTTCTAAGTGCCAATAGTAGAATTTTTAGTCTAGCTTTTATAGCTCATAAATGCAAACTGGAGGGAGATAGCACTGGGTTGGGATTATATATGAATTTTTATTAATATTTCTGTTGTCTATAATGAATTTAAAATACTTTTTCCATTTTAACTTTTTCAATACTTAGTAAAAAGTTCCTTCAATAAACAATACATAGGTAATCTAAAAATTACAATTAATGTTAGTGTTTTGCATGTTTTGTGAGTTGTAGATTAGTGTTTTTCAGCTTTTTTTTGTTATTGGCTTCATAAGCAGCCTCTTTAACATTTTTTCCTAATTGCTCCCTCTTACGTGTATGAGTTTATATGTATAATGCACACATGTGTTTGTTTTAAATATTAAAAATAATAATAGCTTTTACTTGCCACAACCTTCTTTGAGATTGCATTTTACCAGATGCAGGTGGCTCATGCCTATAATCCTAAAATCTTGAGGATCATGTTTTGAGGCCAGTCAAGACAGACATCCTTGTGACTCTTCAGTTAACCAGAAAAAATGCCCAACTAGAGAAGTGGCTGAAGTGGTAGAGCACTAGGTATGAGCAAAAAAGCTGAACAAAAAGCACAAGGCTCTGTGTTCAAGCCCTGACACTAGTCCAAAAAAAAAAAGGAAAAAAATGCATTTTTTGCAGACCTTTGCATATTTAAAATAATGTCATTTTATTTAACAGCATGTTTAAGAATTTGCTAAAAGAAGTACGGATCTATGCACAGAAATTTATTGATCGAGGAAAGGACTTTAACTTGGAATTGGCAATTAAAACAAGAATTATATCGGATGGGCTCAAATACTCTTTAGCTACTGGAAACTGGGGTGACCAAAAGAAAGCTCATCAAGCCAGAGCTGGAGTATCTCAGGTAAAGGTGTCAACTATGACTACAACTTTCATAGGAAAACATTACAGGGCTTGTTGATTCTTTCACTTAGTGAATGTAAGTGACTTTGCTTTCGTTTCCTTGGTCAAATGTAAAATTACTAGAGGCTTTTGAATTATGAAAATAAAATTTATCTTGTTAGCTTTTATCTATATTGAGACTTTTACATAAGTTTTTGGCTGTAGTTAATTTTTATTTTTAAAATTTTTTATTTTATTATAAAGGAATATACAGAGGGGTTGTAGTTACATGAATCAGGTGAAGAGTAAATTTCTTTTTGGACAGTGTCACCCCTTTCTAGTTATTTTTTAAGGAGTTTTGGAGTACAATGTTATTCCTTTCTCTTAGTTGGGATTAGAAGCATGCCTCATTGTGCTTGCTTAGTTCTTTGAGGTAGGTTTTTACTTACTTTTGTTCTCAGGCTGGCCTCCAGCTACAGTCTTCCTGTCTGCCTCCCAAGTAGGTGGGCTTACATGTGATCCATGGGCAGGGCTTTAATATTATGCTCTTCTGAAGTCAGTTTAATGTTTAGGTGGGTGAGTGATGCGGATGTATCTATGTTTTAATAATTTTGATGATTGAGGAGGGAACAGGCAGGGATTCAGGAGGTAGGATTGGGGGCTGAGAACAGGCTGACCTGAGCTACTGCTGTGATACTGGGAAGGAAGGGGCTAGGTTTCTATTGATGTGTGGAGGGAGAAACTTAGAGACAAAAATAATTTTGAAGTTTCTAGGTTAGGAGATTGAAGGAAGGGAGATTTAGAAAGAAAAACCAGATTTGGGTTGTTTTAGGGCTAGAAAAAGATGGCGTCAACTTTAGTTGCCTGCTTTCTTTCTGTCTGAATATTACCTTATTTGTAATTAATATCTTGCGTAATCCTGGATTGGCAGTGAATGTGGATGTTTGCCTGTGGTAGACTTAAGAGGCCTCATCCTGGAAAAAGTAGTGGGATGAATTAGATGTCTGCTATGGTCAAAGATACATGAGTTGGTAGCATATGGTTGAATGCTTATTTAAATAGCTAACATGCCAGCTGTTGAAAACAGTGGAGAACAAAAACAATTTTTTAAAAAAAGGAAAGCCCTTGCTGAGCACTTGGTGGCTCATGTCTGGCTGAGATCTGAGGATCAAAGATTGAAGCCAGCTTGGGCAGGAAAGTCTATGACACTCTATCTCCAAATAACCACTTGAAAACCAGATGTAGAGCTGTGGCTCAAATTGGTAGAGTGCTAGCCTTGAGCAAAAAAAGCTAAGGGACAGCACCCAGGCCTTGAGTTCAAGTCTCATGACTGACGGGAGGAAAAAAAAAAAAGGAAAGTGCTGTCCTCATGAATACTATGTGGCATGTTAAAACTGTACCTTATCACTGGTAAAATAAGGAACAGTTTAGTTATGCGTGGACAATATTATTCAAAGTAAGACTAGGATAAGGAGGGATTCTCAGGGAAAATACAACTTTGTAGCTGGAAATAGCTTAGCAGTAGAACACCTAAGATCTGCATAGCATGTGCAAGGCCTCAGTTCTAACCCCAGTATTACAGAATAAACAAAGTGATTTTGCATCATTGTGCTAGTATAAATCATGGTATTACTCAAACTTTTAAAATTTTACTTTTTTCCCCCTAGGTTTTAAACCGCCTGACTTTCGCTTCTACTCTTTCTCACCTGCGTCGATTAAATTCTCCTATTGGTAGAGATGGCAAGCTAGCAAAGCCAAGACAATTGCATAACACCCTGTGGGGAATGGTGTGTCCTGCTGAGACCCCAGAGGTAATGCAGTAGAATTAGTCTGCACAATCAAACTAGTAATTACGTAGGATTTGATTTAATTATGTGTTCAGGTGGTGTAGAATTAAAGTATGAATTAGTTTTATGTATAGAAGGTAAGGATAAATCTTGAAATGAAATTGAAGGAAGAATGTTTATGAAAAATAATTTTATAGGCATGTAAAACTTACAAGAACTTTTTCTGTGGTTTCTCAGGGCCATGCTGTAGGACTTGTGAAGAATTTAGCCCTGATGGCTTATATTTCTGTTGGATCTCAACCATCTCCAATTCTGGAGTTTTTAGAAGAATGGAGCATGGAAAATTTAGAAGAGATTTCTCCTGCAGCTATTGCTGAGTGTGTATAGATAGAGTTTGCCTTTTAAATTTTTATTAAGCTTTTTATTTTTATGTTTGTAATTGTTATTATAAATTGTTATTATATATAGAGGGGTTACAGTTTATTGTTAAATTCTTGTTAGAACTATTAGTTATTATAGCATAGACTTGCTAAGTGCTGAATGCTTTTTATTTTAGTGCCACTAAGATTTTTGTTAATGGATGCTGGGTGGGAATACATAAAGATCCTGAGCAACTTATGAACACACTAAGAAAATTGCGACGTCAGATGGACATCATTGTGTCTGAGGTAAGAGTCTTCCTTTTGTGTGGGTTCGAACCCATGGACTCATGAAAAGTTTGGCAAGTACTCTACCACTGAACTACATTCCCAACCTACTGTATTTTCTTGAACTTCAGAATGGTACTCCTAGTATATTTTGTTCAGCGTTTTTTTTTTTTAATATATATAAGAATAGGATATAGATTTTCTTCATATATATTCTCCATGTGTATAGTTCAATTATTTTATGGTGCCTCTCACAAAGCAGAAATTTACTATTTTATTAAAGCTCAAATTATCTGTTAAAAATAGAATAAGCTATAGGCTAGGAATGTAAAATGTTTGCCTCCTTCCCTCTCCTCCCCCCTCCTCTCCTTTTCTCCATCCATCCATCCTTCCACCCCTCCACTCCTGCTTTCTTGCTTTTCTCCCTCTCTTTTTCCCTCCATTTCCCCCCCTCCAACCCTCTATCCTTCCTTTCTCTTACAGAATCTTGCTATGTAGACCAGGCTGACCTCAGTCTCATGATCCTTTTACCCCTGTTGCCTGAGTTGTTGGGATTATAGGCACATACGTGTCTGGTTTATGTGGAACATTACTTCTTGTTTGTTTGTTTGTTTTTGGGGGGGTTGGTTGCGGGCTGGAACTCTGGGCTTGGGCACTGTCCCTGTGCTCTTCAGCTCAAGGCGAGCACTCTACCGCTTGAGCTAAGCAACACTTCTGGTTTTCTAGTGGTTTATTGGAGATAAGAGTCTCATGGACTTTCCTGCCCAAGCTGGCTTTGAACCTTGATTCTCAGAACTCATACTCCTGAGTAGCTAGGATTACAGGCGTGAGCCACCAGTGCTCGGCACTTTTTGGTTTTTGACCCTAGTTTTAGAGAAAGAACTTAGTGGTTTTGATCAGGCTTTTTTTGATTAACCATGATTTTTATACTGAGTGACCCCAAATATTTTCCTTTCTTAAATAAACCTAATCCAAAGGATCCAGGTGTAATTTCATTTTATTTATTTATTTATTTATTTTTGTGGGGCTTGAACTCTGGACCTGGGTGCTGTCCTTCAGCTCTTCAGCTCAAGGCCAGCGCTCTACCACTTGAGCCACAGCACTACTTCCTGTTTTCTGGTGCTTAATTAGAGATCAGAGTTTCATGGACATTCCTGCCTGCGCTGTCTTTGAACTGTGATCCTCAGCTCAGCCTCCTGAGTAGCTAGGCTTACTGGCATGAGCCACCGGCGCCTGGCTGTAATTTCACTTTTTAAAGATTCATGGGGAAACAGCCAACTTATTGGCACTTTATTTACTTTTCAAGAAGACTATATACTTGATCAGATGGTTCCTTTGTGACTTCTATACGTTTTCCCAAAATATGGTTATATTTTCTAGATCCTCATGGTCCAATAGAAATGTAATATGAAGTAAATACACAATTCAAAATTTAAAAAGTTACATAATTTTAGTAATAGTATTATAGGCCTGGGCTATACTGTCCCTGAGCTTCTTTTGCTCAAGGCTAGCACTCTATGTACCACCTCTATGTACCACCTCTACAGTACTACCTCTGGCTTCTGTTGTACTGAGAAATTGAACCCAGGGCTTCATGCATGCTAGGCAAGCATTCTACCACTAAGCCACATACCCATTCCCCTGGTTTTGAACTCTTGATCTAAGTGATTGTTTCACCTTGGACTCCTAAGGGATGGCGTGACAGGCATGTGCCACTGTGCCTTGCCAAATGTTTTATAGTTTATATTTATCTAAACTGTAATGATAGAGAAATTAAAAGTTCATGAGCTTCTTTGTCTCTTACGTATAGGTGTCTATGATCAGAGATATTCGTGAGAGAGAAATTCGTATCTATACAGATGCAGGCCGTATTTGTAGACCGCTTCTGATTGTGGAAAAACAGAAGCTACTTTTGAAGAAAAGACACATTGACCAGTTGAAAGAGAGAGAATATAACAACTACAGGTAAAAAAAAATACATTGAGAAAAATGTACATTCAAAATCTTATATTCTTAACAAATTTTCAAAATGTTTATAATTCCTTGGGTTTTAGAATAATCATAGGATTGTGAAACTATCCCCATTATTTCATTTCTTTTTGAACTAAGAGCTTCATGCTTAATGGGTAGGTGTTCTACCACTTGAGCCATACCTGAAGTCCTTTTTGCTTTGATTGGATGAAGGCATGTTAACACACACAGCTCTCTTTTGCCTGAGCTGGTCTTGAATTGTGATCTGTTCTCCATCTCCTAAGACCAGGATTATAGGCCTGAATCACCATGCTCTGCATAATTCCAGAATATTTTTATTATGGTACAAGGACCTTTGCCACTAATAGTCACACAGTCACTTTTTTTTGTTAGTTGTGAGGCTTGAACTCAGGTCCTGGGCACTGTCCCTCTACTCTACTATTCAAGGGTATTGTTCTACCACTTTGAGCCACAGGGCCGTGTCTGGTTTTCTGTTGAATAATTGGAGATAAGAATCTCATGGACTTTCTGGCCTGGACTCGCTTTGAACTGTGATCCTCAGCTCTCAGCCTCCTGAGTAGCTAGGATTACAGGAGTGAGCTACCAGTGCCAGGCTTAAAAAAATCTTTTTTTTTTTTGTCGGTTGGGGGCTTGAACTCAAGGCCTAGGCACGTTCCCTGAGCTCTTTGCTCAAATCTTGCACACTTTGAGCCGCTGAGCCACAGCGCCACTTCCTTAAAATTTCTTTAGTAAAAAATATATTACTTCCTTAAAAATTTTTTTTTTTTTTTT